GGCAAACAATCACCTTGTCAACAAACTGCAAAAAACATACTTGCTGCAATTTATCACATGGTACCTATTGCAATTCTCATCATATCACATTCAGCACAAAACGTGAACATTAACAGGGACCTTGGAGGTCTTCTAGTCTGATCCCCTGTTCAAGCAGTTGTTTAAATTTTCCTGCAAATTCCAAGTTTCATGAGACAATTCTTGATTTGGTTTGTATACTAATCAATTTACATAGCAGAAAGAAAATTACAGAAGCTCTGAGAATCTTTTAAGATCATAGGGAAAGTTTTATTTGCCTTTAAAAACTCCCTCTTCCTCTCTCCCTCACCCCCTCCCTCTTTCCCCTCCCTCTCTCTACCCCTCCCTCTCTCTCCCCTTTCTCCTCATTTCTCTCCCTCCCTCCCCCCCTCTCTCCTCTCCACATATCTTTCTTTTCTCTCCTATCATCCTGTTCTGTCAAAGAGACCTTCACATCCCCCAAGCGCACCGCAGTGCTTTTCCCTATTTGTGCCTGAGGCTCTATATAGCAGCTGGAGAAGGGCCAGATGGTCACAGAGGAGAGAGATGTTTGTTGTTCAGTATTGCAAAGCATATGATAGTTTTTCTTAGCCAGGAGAGTTTTGCTTTCCACTCTCCTTTCTAGAAAAGCCCCATTCAAAGCTTGGTATTATTGGTAAAGTTACCAAATCATGATTTGTTGACACTCACTATGTTTCAGTTTTGATGCATTTTTTTTAAACATTATCAATATTTAACACTGGGACAAAAGGTGATGATTTCAGCCTTCACAGACCCAGTTTTCTCCTGAGGTGTTAAGATTAGACATTGCAGAATTTCTAGTCTACGTAGAGAAGTCATGTGGGAAATAATGTCCCACTTTTTCATAATTGAGAAAAACTGAAGTACATTCCATTTTTATGTATATACTAGTCGATAACCCGGCACTGCCAGAGTATTTATTTATAGGGGGGAAATGTCTGAACCAAACGTAATTTCTAATGTTGGATTTTCCCCCTTATCGGAGGGAGCCCCCTTGTGGAATATTGTGAAGCCGATACCATGGCAACTCCACTACACTGTATAGTAGAAGCCATTTTAGGCAGTACAGTAGAAGACATTTAAAGGCACAAGAGGCTGCATCTTAACAAAATACACATCCCGAGGGGTGTTAGGGTTGTCTTATCCCCACAGTATTTTTCTCCAGAGAGTAAGTCATCTGTGTACCAAGTTTGCTTGAAATTGCTCGAGGCGTTCTCATATCGTTCCTTTTCTGTTCTCTCAGGCCAATTTGCCCCTGCTACAGCGGGAGCTCCTACATTGTGCAAGGCTGGCCAAGCAAAATCCCGCCCAGTACCTCGCTCAGCATGAGCAGCTGCTTCTGGATGCCAGCACCACCTCACCTGTTGAC